CATTGATGCTGCCACTTGGCCAATCCATCTCGTTGGGGGTCTTCCTCTTTTTCTCTGACCCTCCACCTTACCAAACATGATATCCTTCTCCACTGACTGGTCCCTCCTGACAATATGTCCAAGGTATGAGAGATGAAGTTTGGCCATCTTGGCCTCCAAGGAGCACTCTGGCTGTACTTCTTCTAAAACAGAGCTATTGGTTCTTTTGGCAGCTCATGGCACTTTCAGTATTCTCCTCCAACACCATAACTCAAAAGATCATTTCTTCTACCGTCTTCCTTATTCACTGTCCAGCTTCCACATGCATATGAGGTTATTGAAAATACCATGGCTTGGGTCAGGTGCACCTTAGTCCTCAAGCTGACATCTTTGCTCTTCAACACTTTAAAAAGGTCTGTGCAGCAGATTTGCCTAATGCAATATGTCATTTGATTTCTTGACAGCTGCTTCCATGAGTGTTGATAGTTGATCCAAAAAGAATGAAGTCCTTGACAACAAAGCACTATTTAGGTTTTTAACTTTTTCTTTTGTTGATTTCCATTAAACACTCATTTTATCCAAGTTTTTAATAGAACATGAAGTTTTAAAAAAATAATATACAAATATTCTCTATAATATACAAATATTCTCATTTCCTATTTATTATATGTAATTATGGAGTCCTGGTGTGGCACTGCAAGATAATGCACTGGACTGCAAGGTCGGTTTGAACTGCAAGGTTTGTGGTTTCAAACCCACCAGCTGCTCCTTGGAAACCCTATACAGGGTTGTTATCTATAGGAATTCACTCAATGGCACTTAACAAGAGGACAAAAACAATATGCAATTAGGTTCTCTCTTGATTGGCATAGTGGCAGCAGCAGTGGGTTCAAGCATAATCACGATTGTCAGGCTGGCACAGGCCCGGGCAGTGTTTTGTTCTATTGTGCTATAGTCACTATGGGTTGGAACTGACAACCTAGCAACAACAACTTAATTCCTGATAGTTTTCCTTAGTCTTCTCTCTCTTTTTTTAAAGTTCTTGCCCATAGGTTATTTTTTATGTCTTTTGAATTATTGATTTTTTGTCTTATGTATGTATGTTTGTGTATTTACTACTACTAATATGTTATCCATAAAATATTTAAAATAATACCTAGTAAGTGGAAATTTCTGGGAATCAATTAGAATTTCTGACTGAGAGCAAAGTTCCTATACTTACCCAAGGGAAAGTATACTAGGAAGGGACTTCAAAAAGTTAGTGAGAAATTTCCATTATTTTTTCATTCTATTTTGCCACAAACTTTTTGGAGCCCTTCCATATATTCCCTTCAACTAAAATTTGAGGTGGTTTTCAAAATGCATTTAGTATAAAAGAATAAAATTAATCCCTGAGGGAATTTGGGCAACAGGAAAATAATAAAACTTTGGATAAGATTAGCACACAGGAATGCTTAATATTTTCTTCCAATAAGCCCAATAACTATGACCTGCATTTGCTTTTAAGCATCTTAATTCACATTACCACTATCCATCTGTCAATTTCTTGCATTGTGATGGCTTGCAAGTTGTATGGTGCTGGAATATATGCCACTGGTATTTCAAATACCATCAGGGTCACCATAGTGGACAGGTTTCAGCAGAACTTCCAGACTAAGACAAGCTAGGAAGAAAGGCCTGATAATCTACTTCTAAAAATTAGCCAGTGAAATCACATGGATCATGATGGATCACACTCAAAATACTGTCCAGTATAGGTGCTAGAATTTGAGTCTCCTAGGTTGGAAGGAACTCAAATTGCACAGAGACTGAAACAGTGGACTTCAGTATGCTGATGGTCATGAAAATGGGGGAGGATGAGGAAGTGTTTGGTCTTTTATACATAGGGAAGACCCTCAATGATATGGATTGGCACAGCGGCGGTAGTAACAGGCTCAAGCGTAACTGTGATTGTGAACATGGTGTAGGACCAGGCAATGTTTCATTCTGTTGTGCATAAGGTCCCTATGAATCTGAACCAACCATAAGTCAGGCACCTCACAACAGCAACAATAACATACATAGGCTCACCATGAATTGGAGCCAATTTGATGGCAATTAACAACAACAGACAATAAGAGTAGGATAGACAGTTATCGTGACTAATTTGTGACTGTCACAATTGTAAAGGTAGAAGTTTTATAACAAAAACACGGGAATTGTTAGTTAACCTTACAGTCTAGAAACAGAGGACCCTAGGACCATCAAAGGAGAAGAGCACAAGCAGAATGCGGGACCGTATCCAGAGAAGCATCTACACCAGAGATGGAGGCAGAGATAGGGACATGGAGAGAGAGGGTCCAGCTGTGGACTCTGGATTCATGGGAAGAGAGGGACTGAGATCTGGTAGCCAGGAGGCAGACTTGCAGAATGTGTCCTTTGGTGGTTTAAATTATTATATATGCCTAAGTGTTAAAAAAGAAAAGAAAAGAGCTAAAATGAATAGAAAGAAATACTGTTAACTGATGGTACATGGAGGGGATTATAACCATTGTAATGAAACAAAGTATATGATTTGTTGAATGTAGAACTGGTGATCTGCCCTGTAAACTTTCTCTCAATTTACAATAAAAACTTAAAAAAAAACAAAACAAAGAGTAGGATAGACAATAATACAGCTATGTTGGTCTGAGTGTAGTCCTTTTTAGAAATGGCAAGCTAGTCCAGAAAAGCTCCCCTTGTGTCCACAACTGTTGAAAGTGCATTATAGCCTAGATGACAAAGATTGGCAGTAATTAAGTAGTCTGGGGGAAATATATCTTGTATTTTAAGTATATTAAAAAAATAAACAACTCTTCAGAGCTATTGGCAACTACAGTACCAGAGAGCTGGTTTAGGGTTGGGCCAATCTGGTGAAGGGCTGGGCCCTGACTGGGATCTGAGGTGGGGATAGAGACTTGACCACCAGATTTCAATTCAGACTGAAACTTTAGATCATGCCACAATTTCCCCCATTTTGCCAAAATAAGCTCTTCCCTATGTCTTCCATGTTTCTGTGGCTCTGGTATCAAAATGGCCTTAGATGGGTATGGATCCTTAGAAGCTACTATAATTAAAAAAATAACCAGACTAAACCAGACTAGTTACCATTAAAGGAGCTCTGGTAGTGTAGTGGTTATGAATCGGGCTGTGAACCTTAAGGTCAGCAGTTCGAAACTACCAGCTGCTCCGCGGGAGAAAGATGAGGCCTTCTGCTACCGTAAAGATTTACAGCCTCAGAAACCCTGTACAGGGTCTCTATGAGTCGGAACTGACTCCACGGCACGTAACAACAAGAACAAGAACAAGTTACCATTAAGCTGATGATTCTAACTGATGGTCACCTCCTGTGTGTCAGAGTAGAACTGTACTGCATAGGCTTTTTATGTATCTATCTTCAAACTTTTCATTGTGAACTGAGTGAAGGTTTACATGACAGATCATTAGTTTTATGTTCAACAATCATATACTTTGTCCATAGGTTTTTAAGAGCTGATTTTTTTGGAAGTAGATCACCAGTCCTTTTTTCAGAGGGGTCTCTGGGTGGACTTTAACCTCTAATCTTTCGGTTAGCATCTGATCATACCAATGATCTGCACCACCCAGGTACTTCTGCAACTAAATAATAAAACTAAACAAAAAACCTAAAATATTTGCCTTTGAGTCAGTATTAACTCATGGAGACCTCATGTGTTACATAGTAGAACTGAACTCTGTAGGGTTTTCAATGGCTGTAATATTTATGGAAACAGATTGGCAGGCCTTTCTTTTGTGGTGCCTCAGATTGGGTTCTAACTACCAACTTTTCTCTTAGTAATTGAGTACAAACTATTTATACCACTCGGGAATGTTCTGCTACCAAAATTATTATTGTGTGCTGTCAACATAGCAACCCTAAGTAGGGTTTCCAATCGTGGCTGGTGGATTCGAACCTCCAATCTTGTAGTAACCAGTCCAGTGTTTATCCTACAGCACCACACCAGGGTTCACAGTAGAAAATTTCTGTTTTGTCTTGGTCTTGGCTGAGCAGTACCCAAATTCATTGGGCCTAGTTATAAGTAAACCAGCTATGATGTGAAAATTTCCAAAAAGCCTTTCACTGTATATATCTGGGTCTTGTCCATAATTCCTTAGCATGAGTAGCCATGTGCACATGTGTATGTGTGCATGTGTTAATTTGCACCTTGCTGTGTAGGCACAATAAATGTATGTACAAACAAATGCAAAGTTTATGGTTAAATTTCTTAAAGTGGAGCATTCATCATCTTTGACAGAACAAACTAGCATAATCTTTTTTGTTAGGTCCTACAAATCAGGCCGCTAACCTCAGGGTCAGCAGTTCGAAACTACCAGCTGTTCACAGGAGAAAGATGAGGCTTTCTGCTCCTGCAAGGATTTATAGCCTCGGAAACCCTGTGTACAGTCTCTGTGAGTCGGAACCGACTCCACGGCACATAACAACAACAATAAACTTAACTTGGACAGTGACTAAGGAAGACCATAGAAGAATCAATACATTAGAGTTACGGTGTTGGAGGAGAATATTGAAAGTACCATGGGCTGCCAAATGAATAAATAGATCTATGTTGCAAGAAGTACAGACAAATGTGCTCCTTGGAAGCCAGTATGGCCAGACTTCATCTCTCATACTTAGGACATATTACCAGGAGGGACCAGTCACTGGAGAAGAGTATCATCATGTTAGGTAAAGTGGAGGATCAGTTAAAAAGATGAAGACCCTCAATGAGATGGATTGGCACAGTGGCAGCAGCAATGGACTCGGTCTTAGCAACGATTGTGAGGTTGGCCCAGTACTGGGCAGTGTTTCCTTCTGTTGCGCATAGGGTCACTGTGAGTTGTTATCGACTCAATGGCACCTGAACAACAACTTAATAACTAATGACAACAACTTAATGACTAATGAGTAGAAAAGGCCAATCTAGGTAAACAATGATAGTTCACAAGTGTGCAATGAATTTCAACATTCTTTTCTTTGTTTTAAGGATTTTGACTCTTTCTTCTCTGCCAAAGAAGAGAATATTATATATTCATTCCTTGGCTTGGCTCCCCCTCCTGGCTCAAAGGTAAGTATTGTGGCCCAATAGAAGTCATAAGAAATGAAGATAAAAATCAACATCTAAGATTGTTTAATAAATGATAATCATTCAACTAACATGAATTTAGTAAGCACTTTATTCTGTTGAAATCTTATGCAAAGTTTCCATTGAAAATGTTTTATTCTGATATTTTAAACTTCTCCTGGTTTTGCAGTTTCTCTTTGTGAGAGTAAAAATTAAAAAATGTAAGAAATATCATTGTATTTAATAATCTTTAGTGCATTAACTAAATATGCAAAAATATGACTTTCCAGGCTGTGTTAATGCCTGTATATTAATCATTAAAAAAAATATGAATTCAACTTGCTTTTTGTAGTCTGATAAAGAGGGGGGAAGTAAGATCTAGAATTAAGAACAAGATCCATAAATTTTATCAAGTTTTATCCTCTAGTGTTGCTTCACCTTTGATTATGTAAAATTATGGTAGTTAAATAGGGTTTATGCTAATTAAGCTAGTGCCATGCATTTGAATTGTTAATGCAGATCTGTAACTTCACTATGTGGTGACGTTTTGCATTCTCAACCAAGAATTCCTTAAATGGCTTTCCATAGACTTAAGACAAAGGAGCAAATTGGGCTGAGAACTGCAAGGTCAGCAGTTCGAAACTACCAGTTGCTCCGCGGGAGAAAGATGAGGCTTTCTGCTCCCGTAAAGATTTACAGCCTCGGAAACCCTGTTCAGGGTTGCAAACGACTCGATGGCACTTAACAACAACAACAACAACAAGACAAGTACTAAGTTGCTTACTTAATTTAGTTCTTAATTAATTTGTACTCAGCTTCATTTCAAAAATCATTTGTGATGACGCTAAGTCTGAATTAATTCTTACCATAGGACAAGCAATTCAATGTCAATACAGAGAACGGGTTTGTAACGATATGTGAATGCTTGCATGTACCAGTATTCTTCCTGTAATAACGTTAGAGGTCGGTTAGTGCTTAGGTTAACAACTGCAGTTCTATCCTTAGCTCCATCTCCAAATTATAATATATTTGTTGTTGCTGTTAAGTGCTGTCGAGTCAGTTCCAACTCATAAAGACTGTATGGGGTTTCCGAGGTATGGCTGGTGGCTTGAACCACCAACCTTTAGGTGAGCAGTCCAGTGATTATCTACAGCATCACACCAGGAGTCCAACATTAATTTTGTTGCTGTTAAGTATTGCCGTGTTGATTCCAATTCCTAACGACCCTGTACAGGGTTTCTGAGGAGAAAGCTGGTGGGGTTGAACTGTGAACCTTGTGGGTGACATTTACCAGGTATCATGGGTTCACTACCAGAACATAATGGAAGTTTATTTCAGGTATAACAGCAGTGTTAAAATTGGTAAGTTTAATTCTTGACTGCATCAAGTAAACTTAGCCATTTAAGTATTTTAAAAGTCATTTCCTCCAAAAACTGAGGGAACTCTTCCTTTCTATCAGCACACACTGTGATTTCTAATAGTTCAGTTTTTGGAGGACTTCCAGTTGATGAGTAAACTGCATTGGGGATATTTCAAAACTTCTCTCCCCCAAAGAAAATGAACATAAACCAATTACATGAATTTCTCTGCAGATTATTTTCCCCAAAACATAAATGCAGAACCATAAGGTGTAAGTTTTACCTAGTTTCCTCACAGTAAAAATCATCTGCCCTGAAAAATATGATGGGCATATTCTGGGATTTAAGTTAATAGAATTGTTTTACCTTAAACAAGATACTTTTTTTTTTTTTAAAATAACATCTTATATCAAAATAAACAACTCAATATGGGACATTATTTTAGTATTTACTGACTGAATCATAGGCATATGAACTAAGGCCCATCTTCTACTTTCTCTACATCCTCCTCTTCCTCCCTTGTTGTCGTTGTTATGTGTCGTGGAGTTGGTTCCGACTCATAGTGACCCTGTACAGGGTTTCCGAGGCTGTAACTTTTTATGGGAGCAGAAAGTCTCATCTTTCTCCCACGGAACAGCTGGTAAATTTGTACTGCTGACCGTGAGATTAGCAGCCCGATTCGTAACCACCCCTATATAATCATCAACTATCTTCCCTTTCTATATTAGTCTTGGCACTCAGAAAGACTGTTGAAGTCTATTGTACTTTCAAATAAAATTTTAGGAATAAAAATTTAGGAATATAAAATAAACATTTTAGAATTATGTGCATAAACATTTTATAATTTTTTGTCTGTTAATGTGGAGAGATGAGACTTTTATATCAGACTTTTATAACATTTATCCTCTTATGTAAAACATAAATGTTATAAACCAGACTGTCTTTTATGTTCAAAAGACAGAAAAATCCAAGCTTTGTATACTGTTTTAAAATCTAATGAGAACATGTGTTGGATAATTGAATTGGCAATGTAAACAATTTAAAATATTGGAGATTGAACTGAAAGACAGATTTGTCAGTTGTTTCCCATGTTATAGCAAATTATCAATCTGTCAAAGCCATTTCCTATATAATCTGATTTAAGCAGTCTGGTCAGTAAACATGTCACAGTGACATTTGCATTAACACTTCTAAATGTCTAGTTTTCTATTCTTACATTTAGCATTGTAGGCACAGAGAGTAAGAAAATATGGGATGTTCTCCAACAGATAACCAATAGCACAGTTGTGTTTTTTCAAAAACACTGTTTAGATATCCTTTTCTATATAGTCAAATGCTTAGTGGCCACAGGTTTAGCAGCCTGCACTTGTTGTTGTTGTTAAGTGCTGTCAAGTCGGTTCTGACCTATAGCAACCCTGTATAGGGTTTCTGAGGAGCAGCTGGTGATTGTGAACCGCTGACCTTGCAGTTCAAAGCAGCCTGCACTAGCTGACATTAAATGCATTTATTATGCCACAAGTCCATCACAGTTTCCTTTTAGGCATTTTTATGTTCAGGAGAAAACCCCTAGTTCAGGTTCGTTTAAGGGTATTGACCTACGGAACAGCAACTCTACCTTTAAGGTTAAGCAAACTATTATTGAGTTTACTAAAGAAAAGGACAACAAACCTCTTTAGGTCAGTTAAAAGCCATATTTCTAGCTGGGATATTAAAAAAAAAAAATCTTACCATCCAACACACTAGCGTTAATGCCACTAATAACAACCAATAGCAGGAAAAATGAGCCAGCTAACAACCAGCCCACTCATTAGAAAAGCAGCTTAACTCAAATACTGAGACCAAAATATATATAGTATCACTACCTACCAAACTGCCCCACCTACCCTTAACCAGAGACAGGAAGAGAGGAAATAACTGTTAAAAAAACAAAACAAAAGCTTAGTCTTTTGTACAAGGATAGTAACAGTACAACTCTGGAGACTGAACTCAGACGAACTCAGAAAGACTGAAGGTAGAGGGAGTGAAGGCAATGTCCAGGGATCAGTATCCCACAAATAGTTTTTAAAAACCAAAGTACCACAAACACAAGGAGCTCTGGTAGCATAGTGGTTACAGATCGGGCTGCAAAACACAAGGTCAGCAGTTCGAAACTACCAGCTGTTTGCGGGAGAAAGATGAGGCTTTCTGCTCCTGTAAAGATTTACAGCCTTGTAAACCCTGTACAGGATTGCTATGAGTCGGAACCAACTCCATGGCACATAACAACAACAACAACCACAAACACATTGAACTTGTCTATGAATTAGGACAAGATATTGCTGCTGCTGCTGCTTCTTGTCTTTTGGAATATGGCATTTTTGTAGGCTATGCTCTTCAGTGTGAAAGCAGGATATTAAAAAAATATCTGTTAAAAAATCAGAAATCATTTAACACTTAAAATTTTGGGACCATATGTCTTTAACTGTGAAACTAAACAGATCTATTATACTTTCTCCTTCCTTCAACTGAAACTTCTCACAGCAATAAGACAACTAAAACAATCCATACATGATTTTCAAAGTCCTTGACAGTATTAAAACTTAGAGAGAAAAGGGAAGAAAGAGAAATAAGAATTGAGAGGAGAGGAAAGCTTTATAAAAAAGATGGTGTGTGTGTGTAATTAACAGGCCTCTCTTTTGTTTGATGACAAGCAAGTGCAAGAAAGTTCGTTTGCCCTTTGGTCAGTTGTCTATTTCTGCATATCTGCATTCTGGCGTGATGGGACTTTGAGGTTTTCCTGCAGCAAGTAAGCATCTGTGGGCTCTATCCTCTTATAGTAGTTCTTTGTTTTAGTAATCTCAAAATCAGACTTCTGCTGATCTGAACATGCAAGTTGTTGTTAAGCTCTGTCAAGTCTGTTCCTCTCATAGCCAACCTGTATAGGGTTTTCAAGGAGCTGCTGGTGGGTTTGGGCTGCCAACCAGATTGTTGTTGTTAGGCACGATTGTGTCATTACTGACTCATAGCGACCTTATGCACAGCAGAATGAAAGACTGTCTGTCTGATCCTGAGCCAACCTCACTATTGTTGCTATGCTTGAGTCCATCGATGCTGCCACCTGGATTAGAAAGATGACCTGTTTAGTCGCTTCAACTGTTTAATATTGTGTGGTGAGTGTCACAACTCCCAGCTCAATCTGTCTACCTTTCATCTTCCCTGTCTGCTGAGGCAGTTGTGATCCTCAATATCAGGGAGCTGCCCTCAGCTCTCAGTGCCCTGGACTCTCAACCTTATCAGCCAGCCTCCTCTCCTGAAGCAAGGGGTGGGAGCCGGTCACTGAGCCTGAGAGTGGAGCATGGTCCATGGCTGCCAGCCAGGTCTGCTGCCATCTCTTATTTTCTTCTTTTTAAAACTAATTTTTACTATTGTAGTGCACTGGACTATTAACCCAAGGTTGGCAATTCAAACCTACCTGCTGCTTCTCAGAAACCCTATGCAGGGTCTTTATGAGTTTGGACCCAATTTGATGATACTTAACAACAACAACAAACTATTATAGTAATACATTTGACAGTCGTTTGGAATGAAGTGGTGGGGACAGAACTGGAGAAAAACAAAGGAGAAGTTGATAAGACATGCTGATGGATTGGATATAGAAGTGAGGAT